TGTGTAAACAAACAAAAATTATCGGAAAAAAAAGAAAAAAAATTGTAATCAAATTGAGGACGGAAGAAGTAATTTAATCCGTATAAAAGTAGTATGTGGCCCACGAAATTCATAACTAGCTCAAGTCCATCAGTCCATTATAGCATCTTGGTCCAAATGTTCTGCGCATGAACTCTTGCGCTCCTTTTTCTTTTTTGGATTTTTTCATGAACAGAATAATAAGATAAATGTTGTAAAATTATCCAAATGACATAGTGTAAATTATTAATCCTTGTAGTCATTCTTGATGTAAAATTTACAGTCTTATACTCGGGGTATAAAATTGTGTGAGATACTGAGATGACTTTCACTAAAATTGCCAACAAGGCAACAAATATGTTCGTCCATCTTTAAAATATTCCTCCCTCAATCTCAAAAAGAATGCAACAGTAATTATTCCAATCTCTCTATAACTTATGTTTGTTTACTCGTTTTGTTTGATAATTTTATATAATAAATATTTTTGTCGCATCTTTTTTTTAATAGTTTTAAAATAAAAATAAATTTTTATGCAATTTCTTTTTTAATTACGGATTATTAAAACATATTAAGAGAACTTGTAACACAAAAACACTCTAGCTTAGATGGTTAGGAACTTAATTTAATTTCTAAGATACTTTGAGTTCGAACGCCTATGGAGTATGTTTTTTGGGAAAAAACCCCGTTCCGACCGGTCGATTCTTATTGGTTCACAGCGATTCGTAGTGGTTCGAAGCAGATTGCGGTCTAAGGGCTGGACCGGACCGGTTGGAACACCGATTCGCCGGTTCACGGTCCGGTCCGGTTATAAAAATTATGTTTTTCATACTCTTATCTAGGGGTGGGTACGAAACCCAAAACCATGGTCCCGATATGAAATATCTCATTCTCGTGCCTATAATGTTTCATTTTGTTAGGGATAACAAAATTTTGTCCCGAACTCGTTCCGAACTATTTTAAAATGGGATAGGACCGTGACACATAAATATTTTTGCGTTTTGTCCCATATATATGTATATATCTACTTATTTATATAATGATATAACACACAAAAAGATATCATAATTTTTGTTTTTACAAAATAAATAATAAAAAATATCCATATTCGAATATTCAAAAAAATAGTTTAAGACTGGAAAACCAAAAATTCTAGGCTGTTCTAATCCGGCCCACTCTAATTTGTGGCTTATAGTTAAAATGAAGCTTATTATAGTCTTGACTTTTGATGTATGTTGTAACATTTTTCATTTTTCCTTATTATTTTGACTTTTTAAAAAACATTATAAATAAATACTCCCTTCGTCCCTAGAAACATGGGAGATTTTTTTTAAAAAGATTTAAATAGAGTGTAATTTGGGGTTTAGTTTCCAAAAAATGTTCTTGAATGTGACGAGTAAAAATAAGATTTCATGGGTAGATTAATACGAGTAATAAATAGATGTGATGTGATACTGTGATAGGTAGGTTAAGAAATAGTAGGGGTAAAAGTGACTTTTTTAATAGAAATGAGAAAAGTTTTTCGGGACGGATGAAAAAAAGAAAGGAAAAATTTTTCCAGAGACGGAGTGAGTATATCATTTTTTTTCATTACTTTGGAAGTCAAAGTGAAATGCCCCCCTTATGTATTTTATAATTTTATATCAAATTTTGAATAATGACAAAGTATGACAACCCGAACCATTTTCGTTTTACCACAACCCCGAATATTAAGGGACAAAGAGGGATTAGCTTGTGGCTCGAACCGTTCCGAACCATTTGAAAAAGACGACACAAAATGCGGGACGGTATAAAATATGAACCGTCCCGACCCGTGCCCACCCCTACTCTTATGGAAATCATGATATGATGTTTTTTTTATTTCTCATATAATCGAGATCATGTTTTGGGAAGTAGATGAAATTTCAATTTAAATTTCTGTGTATAATTTTTATAAATTATTCATATAGTGTTCATGATTTTTTTTATTAATCTTATTTTATTATTTGATTTGGAATATAATTGTGTTTTCTTAATTGTATGTAGCATATCTCACTTTTGCGAAATATATTCTACTTAGTAATTTGTTGATTTATTTTACCAAGAATGGCAAATTAATTAGTGAATATGCTAAAATACCATAAAATTTAAAATCTTTACTTGTTGAAAAGTCTCTTGCCTTATATGACTTTTGATTTTCGAATTAAATTAATCTTAGTGAGAAAGACCAAAGTAGGACTAAAACATTGAAAATATACCAAAATAGGACTTCCATGTTTTTATTCCCGAAATAGGACTTACATTACCAAACGTGGTCATATACATTACCAAAAAAGTATAATTATTTGCACATGTACACTGCCACATTACCACAATGCAAAGTCACATTACCACAGTGTAAAGTCCTATTCCGGAAAAAAAAACATGAAAGTCCTATTTTGGTACTTTTCTCTATGTTTTAGTCCTATTTAGGATGATTTCTATTAATCTTAATGGTCACCAATTTTTCAGGGCCCCACCCCAAACCGCTTTAGCTTTGCGGTTAATTATTTATTAACATTAAATTTATAAATCATTTATCTAATGCAAATAAAGTTTATTTTATATTAGTTAAATTTATTTGTTTTTGCTTCACTTGAATAATACCTTAGAATACACTTTTACCCAAAGGTTTTGTGTAAATCTAATTAACCATTTTCATTTAGTGCATATCCTTAAATAGATATTCGTATGACATTCACCTTAAATGCATAATATTTCACTTTTATCCAAAGTTGATATGTTATAATTCTTTATTGCGAACTAAATATATATATATATATATATATATATATATATATATATATATATGCATTAAATTGTAAATGTCTCACTTTTGTTCAAAAGTGATGTGTTACATTCAAGCACATCATAATTTTATTATTCATAATACTTAAATAAGTGGTCATAATTAAAGTGAAAGCCATTTGTTTAAGTAAAATTAAATTTATTACTCCCTCCGTCCCTTAAAAAACTTTTCATTTTGACTTTTAAAGATTTAAAGAGAGTGTATTTTGGTATTGAGTTTCCAAAAAAGCCCTTTGATGTGATAGATAAAGTAGGATGAGATGGGTAGATTAATAGAGAAAAAGTGTGATATGATATGTAGGTTAAGAATTAATAGGGGTAAAAGTGATTTTTTAATAGAAAAAGGAAGAGTTTTTTGCGACGGATGAAAAAAGAAATGATAAAAGTTTTGTGGGACGGAGGGAGTATATTATTTTGGTGTTATAATAAGCTTTTATCACAGCTTCATTAAAATATAATGTCCCTTTTTTCGCCAGCCTTAGTTCATTACCCCTTTTCTCATCTAAATCCACTATTAGCCTAAATGTGGGAATTGATATATTGAATGGTGCAAACTTTTCTCCATGGAAAGATTCAATTATACTAACTCTTGACATGTTAGATTTTGATTATGCACTGAGAGAGCTTGCCCCTCCTGCTCTCATTGATAAAAGTACTACCGAAGATAAACTTGTACATGAGAGATGGGAGAGGTGCAACAGAATGACTCTTATGCTCATTAAAAATTTAATCAGCATAATCATCGGGGGGACTATTTTAGATTCATGTCATGCTAAAATATATCTGGCGACTGTGGAGGAACAATTCAAAGCAACTTTTAAGGCGCATGCTAGTACTCTTATTTTGAAAAAGGTTACAATGAAATATGACGTGAATAGCGGGGTTTGTGAGAACATCATGATGATGAACGACATGGCCCGTAAGCTTAAGGGATTAGACATAGAAATCTAAAAGTTGTATTCTAAATTGTAAACCGGAGGTATGCATTTTCATTGGATGTCAGTGTGATACTAAGGGGATAATTTTCATAAGCACAAAATAGTAGTGCAATATTTTTTAGTCGTCGCACTATATTGTGTCAGTGTGAAATATCGAAATGTTAGTGCATGATTTTAACGTAAAATTTGGGGTACATGTAATGAGATAATTAATATGAAAATTGAAATGAAATTAATTATAGAATTTAAGCTATATTTTTATTATATCAAAAATTCTACAAAATAATTTATTACACTACAATAGAGTAATGCTAGAGTCACAAACAAATCTTTTACAAAATTCACAAACTTACCATTTTAACATTCTTTTAAAAATGAGATGCAAAGATACTCCCTCCGTCCCTAAATAGATTACAATTTTTTTTCTCTCCCATCTCGATAATTTTTGTTTGTTTACGTGATTTCATGAAGTACTCCCTCCGTCCCACTCTTTTTGTCCACTTTCATTTTTGCACACCATCCAATGCACTTCTTTAATCTATTTTATCTTGTAATTTATATATTAAAAAATTATAAAAATTATATATTAATAATCTATATGTTAAGACAAATCAAACAAGATCACACATGACTATTTTTAGACTTACACATTGAGAGAATTTAATGAGTCAAAGTGCTTAGATGAACAGTTCCAAAAGTCAAAACTGGGCAAAAAGAGTGGGACGGAGGTAGTATTTGATAAAATAAAATATTCTTGTCACCTTTTGTTTTGTAGAACTTTTGATGTAATTTTTTAATATATTATTTTTATAACTTATTGATATACCAATTTGTAAATAAAATGATTTCAAAAAGTAGAAAATTTTATTCCGTAACCCGTAATTTGTAATCAAATTAGGGACGGAGGGAGTATTTAAATTTAAAATCCACAAAAAAAAGTTTAAGAAGTTTGTGAACGAGTATTTGTTTGTAACTCTAGTATGTTCCGAAAAGCAAAATGGGAGTGTATCTTTTGGGTAATTTGAATTTCCAATTGCGTGATTGTCATTTTGTTTTTACGGAAAAAAAAGGAGAAAAAACGAAAGATGGAATAGGAATAGGACTCCGTTTTCCGAGCAGTATGTTTTTCATAGATTCTAATTGTAGTGTAATAATGAAAGGAAAAAAAAAAGAAGATCTTTTGCTTGTTTGCAGTGGCTGCCTGGCTGGGTGGGCTATATTACCCATAAGATTGATTTATTTAAGGCAAGCTGAGGGAAGGGAAAGCTGCATGCCCCTGCCCTGCCCTTAAAACTCTGCCCCATAAAACCCTGTAATCATCATTTCATGACACGTACTCCACACAGTTCCCCGTTAATTAATTAATGGCCTTCTTTCTTAGCTTTAGCTTCTTTAGATGTGCATGTCCAGATGCACATGCTGATGTCATGCATCCCTGCTCTTCTCTCGCTGTGCCTGCATGCATATATACACACACACACAATGCATGTACTGTATCTGATCATCACATCTACCGTTCGATGTCCTGAAAAAGCTGCCCTACTAGACTACGTATATAATCCAACGACTCCTAAGAGCCTTTAGCCATGGATTAAGCTATTTGTACACTAACTCACTAAGCCATTGTTTGGATAAAAAGAGAAAATGAATGAAAGAAAATAGATGAAAAGAAAGAAATGACTAAAAGTGCTACATTGGGAAAAATACATGTAATGCTATTTAAGGAAAATCATTATGTTTTAGTGTTATTTCGTAAATTCCCCTGAAAAGAAAATAGAGAGGAAAGAAAATGAAGAGAAAATGGGAGGGAGATTATTGTTGTTTGGATGAGTGGAAAATGAAGTGAAAATGTATAAAGAAAGAAAAGGTGATAAAGCAAAAAAGACATTTTTATCATTATTTATGCTAATAAAACAAAGAAGTAAGGATAAAATTGTCATTTCAACAATTTTTCTCTCCCTCCTTCAAATTTTCTCGCCATATGAGGGGAGAAAATATTTGGGTAAAGCTATTTGTACCCCATGTTTTGTACCTCACTTTGTACCCCGTAGCTTTGCACCAACACTTTGTGTTGGTGTAAAACTAACTTTTATTAATGCACCAACACTTTGTGTCCGTGCAAATTTTTGTTAATGCACCAACACTTATGTCGGTGTAAACCATCAAAATGTTTGTGTATAACTGCGGTGTACAAATGAGGTACAATTTGTGGTGTAAGTGTAGCATAACCCAAAATATTTCTCACCTTTTTTCTCTCCCCTTCCCCCTTTTTCCTCTTAAACAAACACTTGATTTTGTTTTGGAAAGTGTGTTTTCTCCTCATTCATTTTCCTTCTTTCCCAATTCCATCTATCAAAACACAGGGTAAAATTTGTACCTCAAATGCATGCATCGACATTTTGTGTTAGCGTGATGTTAGTGTTGATGGGTATAATCCATTGATACAACCCGGCAAGTTCACATGCGTTGAGATACGCTGGATGCATGGTATTTTGGGCGCGTTGGGTGTTCCCATCTTATATCCCCCGCGCTTATATTGTGATAATCAGTCAGCTTTGTATATTGCAGCGAATCCAGTATTCCACGAACGAATGAAGCATATTGATGTTGATTGTCATACAGTTCGGGAATCTGTCCAGCGCCATGAGGTGTCTACGCGTTATGTTCCTACACGTTATCAGTTGGCCGATATTTTTACAAAACCATTAGCCAAACCTGTTTTTGATTTTTTACTGTTCAAGTTGGGCATTCGAGATCTTCATGCTCCAACTTGAGGGGAAGTGTTAGCGGATATTTGTAAATAACCGTAGATATCATGTTATTGGGCCTGTACCTGTTAGCCCGTTTATGTACTTGTATATATATCGGTTTGTAAGTAATGAAGAGCAGACCAGTTTTATGCTAAATTTGTACAGCTACAGTGCTCTGACAAGATTGTACATCATATGATTGCCAAAGAATATATAAAGATCTAATGTCAGACAGTAGAATATCATTTCTAATTAAAATGAACACAATAAACAAAAATAGATGTAAATATAATTTCAAAAAAACCAGACACACGTGACGCCCAAAAGCCCATCAAATTGGTCTCCAAAGTACTGCACATTTTGTCGTGCGGTACGAGAGTATTCCTTAGACATCCTCAACCTAAAAAGAAACATTTCACAATTTCATATTAAAAAATTTTAACTAATAGTTGTGAAGTATTAAACGATAGAAGAAATAAAAAGACCTGGCACCATGCGGGTCACTCTCGGGTACATAATCATCATGCCGGTATCGGGGAAGAGAGTGTACATCTGGACGAATAGTTTGATTCGTGCCCAAGCTCAGAGTTGGAGAAGTAGCATACATCCACATGGAGGGGCATTATTATTCACTCGAAGGGATGCCCGACATAAACCACTAAATAATCTTGCAAGTACAATAGAATCCCTACTAAAATTTGCAATAGTGTCAAAATCTCACAGATATGATACAAAATCAGTAGGCGCAAAACGCCCAGATGAGTTTGGAAACAAAAGACCACCCAAACATCCATAGATGACCTGAGATGTGTATTGCTCTACCTCCTGGTTTGTCCATCCAGTATCTGGTTGAACTAGGTGTCCAGGATTCCAGGGGAATGAATAATACTTTGATCTTAAATTGGTCAGGACGACCTAGATGTGCATCAAGAAGTGTCTAATTTAGAGTGTGCAAAAAATCATGGTTTCTTTTCACTATAGTCCGTCTCAAACCAAAAAGTGCAAACCCGTTAATGAGGAGACCCAACACACAATCTACATCCTGCAAAGTGATACCCATTTCTCCAAATGGAAAATGATCGAAAAACATGCACCTCCAGTCTCCATCGCTCAATGAGTGCGATGATTAAACCATGATAAAATCTAATAGGGTGCACACGGTGTACCCCTCAAAATTTAGCCCTATGTAAATTTTAGTGAACCCTGGGGTCATTAAAAATAGTAGGGATGCGACTATGATATCTAGCTGAAACTAGTTTATTGTCGCAAAACTCGTTATGTTTCCATACTCAATTAGAGCCATGAGTATTCTACAAATGTAACATGTCATCTATTCTAGGGCCAACTATGTAGAATTTGATAAACTGAATGACTTGATTGTTTCATTGATACCGGAGGATATATATACAGGTTACAGGTACAAGCCCAATAAGATAGGCCCACAATGATACATGATATACATAAACTAATATATACATATAATATATCTCTCTCCCCATCTCTCTTTCTCTTTCCAGATCATCTATTTTTGCACTTCTAGAATAAAATAATAAAAAATTAAATTTTTTCTTTCTTAATTTTTAATGAATACAAAATTCATTAAAAAACATCTTCATAATTTCGAAAAAAACATATTCATAATTCTTTAAAACATTTTCATAAATTTGAAAAAAAAAATAAAAATATTGTAGAGCACACAGTTGAGAATATATAAACACAATCTTAATAAATCAAATAAAAATGGAAACTAATAAAAACATACCATCTAATTAATATCTAAAAGCTAAGTGAAATATAAGCAACAAAAAAATACCTTGGAAATGTTGAATCTTAGGGAGTAGTGTGAAAATAAGATAAATTTGGAACGTAAGTGGAGTTAAAGTGATTGGAGAAGGACGGTGGTTAGAATAAGATATATTAGTGATTATCAAGAAGATGAAGGGGTGGGTGAAGTTGGATGATTGGGGAAGGATGGCTGTTGTAACGTGTGGATGAGAGGAAAGTGGAGTTAAAGTGGATTTCTTGGAAAGTTGAAAAGGTGGAGTTAAAGTCGACCATTATCTTCGCATGTAGTACATGCAAAACAATAAAAAAATTAAATCGACATATATTACATGCGATTTTCTACAAACTTTACTATGTGCGGTTTTTCCTACGAGGAATGTCAGGTTCCAGTTTAGGAATTAAAGAGTTTGTTTTTTCCAACTGAGGGAAACGACCCTGTATTACACCCAATTTACCTATCATCTTTACTGGCGATTCGACATTTTTGCAACAAAAAAAAAGATTCGTATGTACTACTCCCTCCGTCCCTAAATATTCACAACATTGTCTTTTTCAGCAGTGTCGGAAACTTTTGTTTATTTCGACGTTTTCATTGATTATTTGATAAAATAAAATATTCTTGACACTTCTTATTTCGAAGAACTTTTCATGTACTTTTTTTATATGTAAATTTTATTTTTTATTTTTTTACCAATATGTAAATAAAACGAATTAAAAAACTTGATATTTTGCCTCGGGAATACAAATGTGGCAAATAATTTGGGACGGAGGGAGTACATGCAAGTTTAATTTTCTTTTGAGGAATTTGAGATTCCAACATACTCCCTCCGTCCCGCTATATTCGTTCACTTTTGACTTTTGTAACTGTTTATCTAAGCACTTTGACTCATAAAATTCTCTCAATGTATAAGCCTAAATATAGTCATGCGTGATCTGGTTTGATTTGTCTTAACATATAGATTATTAATATATAATTTCTATAATTTTTTAATATACAAATTACAAGATAAAATGGATTAAAGAATTGTATTAGATAGTGTGCAAAAATAAAAGTGAACAAATATAGTGGAACGGAGGAAGTAGGAATTAAAAACTTTCTTTTAGGGAAACAACCCTAGGAAAAGAGCATGATGTCACGACTCGGTAATCAAGGAAAGCCGAACCCTAATCGTGGTGTCTAACTGTCTATGACCCTACTAATAGCTACAAAGCCAAATTGCAATCCATTCACAACCGAAGGCCAAAATTGAAAGATGGGTTGGAAGCGTTAAAGGCTACGGAGTAATAAAAAAAGTGGTGGAAGAATATGTCAAAGTCTCATTATAAAATGTTAAAGTGCAGTACATGACAAATTAAAAATGCCTAATACTCACATATTCCTTCACATTAGTGGCCAACCAAATGCTCCTTCCACCACTATTTATTTGTTTAAATGAATTCAAAGTTAAGTTTTAAATAAATCAATATTTAAGTTAGTACTCTCATACCAATAGTCTATTTATCTTCAACTATTCGTACAGTTTGACTTTTTTAAGTTAAATTTAGTAAATTTTAAAGATTAATTACTCTCAATTTGTGTTATGTATTAATAATACGAAATAAAAATTTGAACATTCTAAAAAGGCTAAATCTAATAAGATTGTTTTTATACTAATGTACCTTGTAATTTCTATTTAATTGAGATTCAAAATTCGTCTAATAATTTGACTCGATAAAATCAAAACGTGCGAATACTCTATTTATATTTTGTAGTTTTTTAAACGCGATTGATTTTTAACATCTCGAACCGATATCAAACAGAACGAACCCAATGCAGATGGCCTTATGCTTCTTTCAATATTCTCTTATTATTATTGCTTTTATTGTATTTCTTACTACTATGAGTTATTTTTTTAGAACTTTAAATAGTCCGAAATGGTATGAATTAAGAAAAATTCATTATTTTTTAAAATTTAAACTAGTTATCTTTTAGTCTTTTTGTATATGATCTTTTTAAATTTGAAATCATAATTACTTTTTAACATAGTTGTGATTTTTATACAAAATTGTACTTTTGTTTAATATTATTTGAGTTTTGGATGTTTACTATTTTGGCATGGTTTCAAAATGGAATTATACTGAATGATATTGGGGTTCATCTTGTACCGATATTGAATAGTTTGAATAAGCACGATACGTGATGGGTTTCGAGAGTATATCAAGGACTATCACGGGCCGTGCCTACCCCTAGCTTTATCTTGAAATACAATTTTGAAATATTACTCCATATTTTTATAACATATACTCCCTCCGTTCTAAAAAATACTTCCTCTTTCATTTTTTCCACTTCCAACAAAACACTTCCCCTTTCTATTAAAAAACCACTCTTACCCTTACTTTTTCATACCCTAGCTATCACAGCATACTTTTTCTCTAATAATCTATCCATCACATCTTACTTTTACCTATCACATCAGAGGCAAAATTTGAAATCAACTATAATTTAACACTTCCTTATTTTTGTCCCAAATCCAAATGGAAAGTGTTTTTCCAAACGGAGGGAGTATTAATAGATAAATAAAGAATTTTAATAGTCAAAGTGTTGCATTAGAGACCATGCATGTCAAAATTGGAAGAAGTAAAATTATCTATAGCGCTCTACCACCAATCACTCCAAATCAGCTGCCACTGAGCGCCACATCAGCACTGACTGCACTTACCTTTTACTCACTAAATACCCGTAGTACCTCACCTCCTTGTTATCATTACATAATTTATAATATTATTTAATACTCCCTCCGTCCCAAAAAGAATGGGACGGTTTGACTTTTTGAGAAATTAAGGGAGAGATATTTTGGTATTGACTTTCTTAAAATGCCCTTGATGTGATGAGTAAAAGTAGGATGTGATGGGTAGATTATTAGAAAAAAGGTATGATGTGATAGGTAGGGTATGAAAAAGTAAGAGGTAAAAGTGGTTTTTGAGTAGAAATGTAACGGACTTTAATGGACACAGTTTTTTCTAAACGTAACAAACTTTTTGGGACGGAGAGAGTATTTATCTATTTATAATATTTTTACCCATTTATCTATTTATTTAATAGTAATCTTATAAAAATTAATTTGTATACCTATTCAAACCATAAAATAATCTACTATTAGTCTACTACCTACTTGTATACCAATTCTAGCAGGTGAAATTTGCAATGAATAGGACTAAAACATAAGTCATTTTCCAATGTAGGATTTAAACCTTTTTATTTCTTAAATATGACTTAATAATAACTAGTGAGAAGAATAATGTCCAAGTGATGCTGGATATTTAGTTGAATAATGACTAATAGATAATGACCAATGGTCCTACATTGAGAAATAAAAATATATGGCCATATATTGAGAAAATCATTACTCCCTCCGTTCCAATTTATTTGCAACACTTCGAACGACGTGCAAAATATCATCTCTTTTAAAATCATTTTAATTTCAAATTGGTAGAGTAATAAAAAGTAAAAATTATATCATTTAAAAGTATATGAAAAGCTCTACAAAACAAGATGCGACAAGAATATTTTATTTTATCAAATGGTCAATCAAAATGAGTAAACAAACAAAAGTTATCGAGAGACCAGAATAGTAAACGTGACATTCTTTCTGGAACGGAGGGAGTATGTTTTAGTCGGCAAATTACCCTTCTAACAATATTTTCTTCGATCTTAATTGGCTTGTCTCCATCTCCAACGCCAAATCCTTTTTTCAGTTATTCTCTTTCCATTAGTATGTAGGTCGTGTCATTTGACCGTCTTCGGCATGAATAAAATTAAATTTTAATACTACTTCCGTCCCGCTATATTCGTCCACTTTTGATTCATGGAATTGTTCATCTAAGCACTTTGACTCATCAAATTCTCTCAATGTATAAGCCTAAATATAGTCATGTGTGATCTTGTTTGATTTGTCTTAACATATAGATTATTAATATATAATTTCTATAATTTTTTAATATACAAATTACAAGATAAAATAAATTAAAGAAGTGTATTGGATGGTGTGTATAAATGAAATTGGACAAATACTCTGGAACGGAGAGAGTATAAAATTAGTAAAATTCAAGTTTAAGGAACTGAATATTTTAAAAATCTAGCTATACACACGATCATAAAGCACTATTACTTTTAACTAGGGCATCTTTTTTACCAACATAAGACTATTTAAAATTGATAACTCCAAAATTTATAGAATTTCAATGTAAAATCAGACTCTATTATAAAATTGTTAACTTATTAATTACAGAAATTGAATAAAAAAATCAAAATTTAAGATAATATTGGTAGCTTTTAACTCTTAGGAAGTGAACATTTTCAAAATCTAGCTATAGACACGAGAGGTAAATTTGTTCTCTTTTTTTGAATATATATTTATTTTATGAATCTTAATACATAAAGTAAATATTAGTATGCATCGGGTCTTGACAAAAGAAAGATACAAATTATCTAAATTATGAGTCCACGAGAAATTTGGGAAAAAATTCACATTACACAAGTGAGTTTTATGACCACAATAGCGCAATTCCTCCTTATTCCTAAAATAAGTGTTAAAAATATGGACCATGCTACATTTATACCAAAAATTGTACCCTATTTGTACACCGCAGTTATACACAAATATTTTGATGGTTTACACCGACACAAATGTTGGTGCGTCAACAAAAATTTACATAGACACAAAGTGTTGGTGCGTTAACAAAAATTAGTTTTACACTAACAGAAAATGTTGGTGCAAACCTACGAGGTACAAAATGGGGTACAAAAGGAGGCTCTAAAGTTCAATGTCGATGCGAGTTTTAACCCCAACACACATTTGGCGAGAGTGGCATGGTGGTGCGAGATAGCAATGGATATTTTGTGAAGGGAGCCTCTCGAGGTCTAGGGCAGGTGGAGGATGCGTGCATGGCAGAGGCGATCGGGGTAAGGGAAGCACTCAGCTGGCTTAAGGGCATATTTAGAGACCGAATAATCACACTGGAGATGGATAACCAGACACTTTACTTTGCTCTCCAGGAGCGGGAGGAAAATTTCTCATACTTTTCAGGTTTGGTCTTTGATTGTAAAATGCTGATGTCAGAGTTTTATTCTGTCTCTTTGTCTTTTTTTCGTAGATCTGCGAATGAGGTGGCTCACTTGTTGGCTCGAGCCTCTGATTCTATGCCTGATCTATTGGAGTGGGATGATACCCCTCCTACGATTATTTGTGATGTTTTGCAGAAAGAGTTGAGAATTTAATAAGAATGTTCCCTTGATTTTCAAAAAAAAAAAGGGGTAAATTTTATAGGTAACCGGACCGGAATCCGGATGGGGATTACTTGCATAGTTATGTGTGCATGCTAAAATTCACACGCACAGTGTCATCATTTTAATTTTACTAACACACACTGTACATTATTACTACTACTACTAATTATACGTAAGTCTATAGAGTCCTATACGCCCACACAGTCTGGCCTGGCCGGCCGGGTTTCTTTCTTTCTTTCTTTCTTCCTCACCCACTCTGCGCCATTTTACAATCATTGTCACACTACTACTACTGCCACTGCGCCATTTCCCCCCACTCAATGTTCTTCCAGCTAGCTAATCACCATTCATCCATCCACTGCCCNTAGAAATTAAGGCTGTTTTCCTCATGGGTAGTTTGATTAGCTGATTATAAGTGGTGGGTTTCCATTCGTTTGGGGTCTTTCTGGTGTTTTGCTAGCTTTTGGCTGGAAGAAGGGGCTTTAACGAAGGGAAAGAATTTAGGGTTTTCAGTTTGAGTTGAGACCAGCCTCTAATCCGGGTGATTATTTATTTACTCGTAATTATTTGTTTATTTAGAATAATTCAATCTGGGGTTTGGGTTATGTTCAGAAGGAAGCTAAGGGGAGCTCTCCTGATTGCTTGTTTTTATTGGCTTAAAACTTTCTGTGCAAATGAATCTTTTTTTGGTGCTATACGTACTAGTTGGCTTTGAATTTCTTTCTTGCTGAAATCTCTGCTTCTTTCTAATCTGTCTTTCCCTCTTACTTTTCCAGTCTACGGAGCTCAAAACAAACTATTCACTGCAAATGAATTGACAAAAAATGAAGAAAAAAAGATTCCTTTTTTTATCAACTTTATGATCTTGTCGTTTCTTCTCGGTTCCTGGGCTTATTATTTTAGTATTTCTTTTTTTACAAAAATTCCTCTCACGTGTAAATGGGTTTCTTGATTTAGCACTAAATAAGAAAAATAAGTTTGCAATTTTTTATTTTTTTTTGACTTTTCTACACTTCTCTTGTGGGGTTTTGGTCAAGTTCCTGATAGGGTTTGAGTTTGTTCCATGTAGGCATGTGTTTGGAAGATTGTGATTGATCAGAAGATGGAAACAAGAACCCATAGACCAGATTTGCATGTTCTGCAATACTTAGGGGACTATCCTAACTGCAACTTGGAGAGCACCATGGATCTTGCCCAGCTCCCCACCATTTGTCACCGGTATGGAAACGTTTCGTATGAACCCTCCGAAATGCTGAATTTCGGCTCAAATTCGCCATTGGTAGTATCACACAGGAGTGATGTTATGAACGTGAATCAAGAACTGTCTGGATCTTCTTCTTCAAGAATGGATAACAATGCTTTCTTTATTAGCTCTACACAAAATTGTGGCTCTTGGAATGTTGCTAACCCTAACATTCAGAGCCATATGTTTGTTGGGGGAAGCTATCCCGGGGTTTTGAGTCCGAATAACGCCCCATCTTTGGCTAACAATCAATCTAATGAAATTCATGGGCAATACACACAAAAACAGTTCGAGGATATGCAACATGAGTTCACCAGCAGTTCGGCTCATTATCGAAGTTCTTCTTCTTCTGTTCAAGAAGTTAATAATAACAATGGAGACTCTCATAGATGGAATGGTGAATTTGAAGGGGAGCCAAAACCCACTAATGGGCCTCACATCCCAAACACCCAAGCCTTATCTCTGTCGCTTTCCTCGGTTTCACCTTCCAGGATGAATCCTAGGTGTGTTGTGCCTTTTGGTCCTTTTACCGGTTACGCGACAATTCTAAGAAGTTCAAGATTTCTTAAACCGGCTCAACAGCTGCTTGACGAGCTCTGCAGTTATTCAGGCCATATGGGACTGATAACAAGAACGTCGGAGCATTCTGAGAAGGTGTGGGATGAAGTGAATCTCTCTAGTGATGTTGTCAATGCAGCTAACACATATTGTATGGGAAGCTCAAATGAATACCACCAAAGATCTGAAAATCAGCAAACAAGAGTCAAGTTGTTACATATGCAGGAAGAGGTTGGTTGATTGTTCTTTTTTTTTGCATTGAATTTCTTTGATTAAATCTGTTACAGTAGTATTTTACCCTTTTTTCTAACTGTTCTTGAGAAGATTAAGTATAAAAGATTCTATCTTTAACATGATTGATGAGTTTACTTCTTATGCCTTTCTTGATTTCTGTGCTAAAGCTGAAAGGCTGAACTTATACTCCTTATTCAGAAAGAGATTAAATAATGGAGTTACTAGTCCACAACTTTATTTCTTATTCATCTGCTGCCAATTTGCTCTTTATCAGTAAATCAAGTTTCATATCTTTGCACTGAACTTCTGATACAAAGAATCTAGGGTTAGGTCAAACACTGTTTGTCTAATTTCTTTTCAAAAGCAAACTTCAGTGATGTAATTAAAGCTTATTTTTTTTGCTGTAATGTATATAAGCCTTAATTATGTCATAAGCATACCTTAATGTCCAACTAACTGCATAATGACATCCACAAAATCATGTGCTTTGTAACAACCTAAGACTCATAGTATGAGTTTGAAGTTTCCCACTAACTTTCCCCTTGATTTGATTATGAAATTGGCATCTGAACTTCATTATTGTGAATTTCTCTTTGAAAGGTTTGCAGAAAGTACAGCCAATATCGACAGCAAATGCAGATGGTAGTGTCATCCTTTGAATCAGTGGCGGGGCTTAGTGCTGCGACACCATACATCTTCTTGGCTCTCAAGGCAACCGCGGGGAGTTTCAGTTCCCTTCACAATGCCATCTCAGACCAGCTCAAGAACACGTGCAAAGCCAAGGGAGAGGACAAGTTATTGTCCTCCATTGGGAAAGGCAAAGGAGATAGAGCTAGCTCAAGCTTGAAACTGGTTGACCATGGTGTTGACAAGCACGGCGGCAGCAGCATGGGGTTCTTGGATCATCAACCCCACGTTTGGAGGCCCCAGCGTGGCCTTCCCGAGCGTGCTGTTTCGGTTCTTAGAGCCTGGTTGTTTGATCATTTCCTTCACCCGTGAGTCTCCGATCCCTTTCACATTTCTCTCATTTTGTCTATTCAAAAAAAACTTGACTTAAATATAAAGATGTTACATGCATTATGAATGAATATCCTTAACAAAGATTATTTTTTTCATTACATGGTTAAATAGTACTTCATCCGTCCTGGAATTTGCATTAAAAATACTTTAGGTTTACCAAAATTTTTGATTATATTATTTCATTTTTTGGAATATAGTTTTAGAGTACCATGTGTTTATCATATTTATTTAGATATTGTTGGTTGAATTGTTGCATTCTTGACCATGAAAGTCAAAGTCCTAAAGTAACTTTGAGATATCTCTAATGAACAGTTAACTTTTCCACAAACGTTTTAGGTTTTATTGTGAAGGAATGAGAAGATTAAAATAGTGTTGATTTCCCATTCTTCACTATTTTCTTTTATTTTCAATTTGTTCTTATTTTATTTTAATCCCATATTTTCATTATTTTCCTTCTTCATGAGCACATATTGTTACTATAGATATTTGCAGGGAAAGAAAAGAAAAACATTTTACTGCTAAATGGTTCAGTAAAAGTTAGTCAATGACAAGATGTGTTTGGATTTTTTCGTTTCAAAAATCTGTTCGATCAGTGAGGTAAAGTTAAAGTTGTTTGAAAATTTAAAAGCAGCCAAAGAAGTTGTGTTTTTTTCAAAATCACATTATTTTATTAATTCAAGCTTTTTATAAAAAAAGAAGATTTTTTTAAATTATTTTTTAAGTGTCAAAAAACACTTGTGACTTGTGAGAGTTCAAAAGGTCCTTTTGGCGTTAATTTGTCAAAGTGAAAACCAAACGGGACTTTATTATTGTCACTTTTCTTACGTTCTGATTGTTTAGACTTTAATTCATTTATTTATTTGTATAGGTATCCAACGGACACGGACAAGCATATGCTGGCCACCCAAACAGGCCTATCTCGAAACCAGGCAAGAACCCTATTAATTTAACTCTTGTTATAATATGCCCCTTCTCGTTCGATTTTTTAAAATTTGTTCAAAATTAACTTGGAGGTGCAATTGAATGGTGGAAAGGTGTGTTCGGGTCAGGGCACGATGGAGATTAGGGGGTAGGAATCGTCAATTTTACGAACGGGACATCAGAGCATCTTGGGTCATCCTATGACAGATTTTCAATGTCATGGGAACCTAGTGGATTCAAAAAAGGCCCTAATTGTTTATGTACCATAAATCCATCCATTGTTGACATCAATTAATGCCAAACTAATAATGGTTTTTTTTGTAGATTTATCTTCATTTACATTTTATAATATTTTGGTAAATGAACATTAATTTTGAGAGAGAGAGTAACATTTCATAAAATGTCTGAACATATCCAATGGATGATTTGGTTGGTTCAGGTTTCAAATTGGTTCATCAATGCCCGGGTCCGAGTGTGGAAGCCAATGGTGGAAGAAATACACACCCTTGAGACCAAAGCAATGGCAGCACAAAAGGGGTCAAAACCGGACGAAGACAATGCAACCCACGCTAAGACCGCCCCGTACCCAACAACCGGGCCCCACACCATGAGCGGAGCTCCAGGGATGGGGGCAACAACGTCCTACACTGGTGAAAACCAGTTTAGGAACAACAGTTGCCCCCATCTTCCTCCTGGCATGGATGGGCCCACGCTCCTGGGCGTTGTGCCTTACCAACCAGGCAACCTCGGATCGGTCTCACTGACATTGGGGTTGAGGCAGAGTGCTGATGGGGCGACACAAAAACAATTGCACCCACACCACCAACAACTTGGGAGTCATCAGATGATGGTCCATGACTACTTTGGATGAAAATTGAAGGCGTTTTGTTCGATTAGTTGCTTGAAATTAAATCGGGTCGGGTTCTCGTGGTCTAATCGTGTATTATATGTTGTAATGACACTTTGCCTTGATGATTATAAACCTCAGTCGAAAATAGAAAATTAATCATATGTTATTATCGTTAAAAAAGAATGCCATCTTGTTATTTAATTTATTTTACGTGTTTTTTTTTTTGAAAAACAAAATTGATATGAACTTTTTGTGTTCACCCAAAATCACGATTGGTAATTTCACCACAAATTTGCATTCATGTGTTTGGACGATTGAACCCTCCGGCTAGAGATTGTAGGCATTTGTTATTGAGAAATTTGGGAGCCACTAAGATTGCATTCCGTTTAACTTATTTTTTTAATTTATTATTTATTCTTATTAAAATTAGATTAGAAACAAAATTAAATTAGACTAGATAAGAACAGAAATAGTTTTGAATTTGACTACAATTAGGTTGGATTAAATTGGACAAGATATTCAAAAAATTAGATCGGGTGAATGGAACTCAGCCTAAGGCTCTGTTCCGTTCAACTTATTTTTTCTGCTTTTTTCTTAATCTTATTAAAATCAGATCAGATCTAATCAGATTAGATCAGATCAGATCAGAATCAATCAGATCAGATCAGATCCAATCAGATCAGATCAGATCTAATCAGATCAGATCCAATCAGATCAGACCAAATCAGATCAGATCAGATCCAATCAGATCAGATCAAACCAGATCAGATCCAAATAAGAATTATTATTATTATTATTGTTATTATTATTATTATTATTATTATTATTATTATTATTATTATTATTATTATTATTATTATTATTATTATAATTACTACTACTACTACTACTATTATTATCATTATCAATATCTTTATTACTCCTTACTTTTTAAATTCCATGTTTTTTAGTTGTTTCACTTGATACGGTTATTTTAAAAAATAAATTTAATTCTATTTAAAAAATATAAGAAGAAAGAACATGAAACTTTTTGTGTCATTATAATTTATGTAGACTAAAATAAATGATATGAAGCACAATTGTTTTCTTAAAAATCAAAAATAATAAACTTTAGAAACAAGCTAAATAGAAACCTGAGAAAGTAATCTTTAATTATTAGACATCGGAAAGCACCCACTAAATTAAATTTTTGAAAAAAATTATTAAGAATAATAATAATTAGCAGATACTTTAAAGAAGTGTTACAAGCTTTTGTCGCACTAGCCACGGAGTGTATCAAACCTTTCCAAGACTTGAATGAAGTTCCGCATGATATATACAACAATTCAATGTACTGGCCATTTTTCAAGGTACATTATTCCTCACTTTTCATTTATGTTTTATAATAATAATAAATCATCTGATTTAATATAATTATTTTATTTAGGATTGTGTGGGAGCTTTAGATGAGACTCTTATTAAAGCTACTATATCAGATGAAATGGGTTTACCATTTCGAGGACGCAAAGGAAATAAAACATGGAATGTTATGGCTTCATGTTCATTTGATAGTCTTTTCACATTTGCGAATGTTGGATTCGAAGGTAGTGCTCATGACATAATCGTGTGGAGTCATAGCTTGGCTGAACCAAAATTTCGGTTTCCACACCCACCACCAGGTATCAAAATTTTAATTTATAATTCTAAGGTAGTACTCGTAAGGCACATGCACATTAATTTCTAACGTTTTTTTGAATATAGGAAAATATTATTTGGTTGATTCTGAATATACGAACACTCTTGGGTATCTAGGTCCAATAAGACGTGAAGATGTTAGATATCATATGCCTGAATTCCGTGGAGGCCCACCACCCAATGGGATGCTGGAGCATTTTAATTACAAACACTCATCATTGCGAACAACAATTGAAAGATGCTTTGGGGTACTAAAAAAGACATGGAAGATTTTGAAAAATATGCCCCAAATGAAAATTGAATATCAGTTGGCTATTATGGTGTCAACATTTATGCTTCATAATTTTATTCATCTTCATGAGTTAGGTATCCCATTATCTGCTGGAATTGACGTTGAACCGCAAAGTGATAGTACTATGTTCGACACGGAACGCAAGACCAAAATGAAAAAAGTACAACTTGATATAGCAAAAGAAATTTGGGCTTCAATGAGTGAGACTGAAGAGAATACGAGCGTGTAACATTTAATGCAATGTATTATTTATAGCATACATCGTTTTTGTCAAGCACATCTAGCATGTAATGTGTTATTATACAAGATGCAGAAAAATGTATTATTTCTTTGCTTAACATTGATAATATAAGGATGTGCTCTTTTAATAAAAATATTAATGATTATTAATAACATTGATTATCTATATTAAATAACATTTTAGTGCATATATAAATTAAATAATTATTCTAATGTTTATATAAACTAATTATTAAAATATTAAATCAATATTATTCATTAAAAAAATCATAAAATAAAAAATATTATTACATTATAATATGAATGATTATTCTAATATATGAGTTAATTAATTTTGTTTCATTAAAAAATAATCATAAAAAAATATTGATTATATTATAATATGAATTATCATTACAATTTTCAATCAAATCAGAACCAATCAGATCAGATCAGAACCAATCAGATCAGATCAGATCATATAAAATCAGATCAGATCAGATCCAATCAGATCAGATCAGATCCAATTAGATCAGATCTAATCAGATCAGATCAGAACTTATTAAAATCAGATCAGATCAGAAAAAATAAGTTGAACGGAACGGAGCCTAAGCATATCATGTTCCAAAAATGTGTTACTTGAGGTAAAGTTTACTCGTTCAGTTCATTTTTTAATCAAGCACGAAGAATTTTAGATTTCAAATGAATAAAAATTGTAATCCGTTTAACAATAATATTTCTGTTACACGTTAGATGTTTGAATAAAATTATATTCAAATCATTTTATATGAAAAATCGAATCGAGTTAAAAAATAAAACTTACATGACAAATTCTATAGTGTACCTAAAGCCCACCATGAACTTACACATGAGCAAAATAAGCATTCATTTATTACTTAAATAATCATTTATTTTTTAAAATAAAAAAAATAAAAAAAATTTTATGCAAGAAGGTCTACAAAAAATGATATGAACCCAAGGTGCACCGAAACCACACTCAAATTAGATATTTAAAAACAACCGGGAAAAATCTACAAAACTAGAGATGACATTACTATATTATTTTATCAAATGGACAACAGAAATACGTCAACAAAGTGAATAAAGATTGACCCTTTGAATAGTGAACGAGAATATTATTGTTGGACGGAGGGCAACTTATATTAACATGCAATACAAATGAAAAAAGGTTGATGGTTAAGGCTTTGATCCGTATGCCTAATCTAATCTGAATTTTTGAAGTTCTAATCTGATTAATGATCTGATCTGACTGGATTTGATTTTTTCTAACTAGATCTGGTGTTAATGAATCTAAATTTGATTTAAATTAAACTTAAAATTATTACAACAATTTAAAAGTGTTAAAGTATCACAATTCATATATACATAAAAAATTAAAATAAGAAAATCATTGACAATAGCTAATTTAATCATTGTTATATTTAAACATTTTTTTGAAATGTTAAACATCTTTTCAATATCAATACTTTTTTAATCTTTTTGAAAACTGAAAATTAAATTTATTTATATAGTAAAGAGAGTGTATTATTACTCGGTATCAAAACAATCAAGTATTAGAAAATATGGATGATGTTCTACAAAAGTATCACATTCTATTTGCATATTATATAATAATATATTGCATGTTGCGAATTATAAATCACATAAAATCCTAAACACGTACTAATATTTCTCTCACCTTTACCAATTTTGTCATAAATCCACTCTTGTGTATATTATACCATTTTTAAGTTTAAAAGTGAGTCCTTTTTGTTAGTCGTTGTGCCTACGACTTAGAGGGGGGGGGGGTGAATAATGCGTTTGAAAACTTTTCGGAGTTTAATAAATTTGGTATTGGTAAATGCGGAACCAATAATTATACACAGAAATCAAAGCGCAAACTAAGAATACACCAAATTTTAGACTAGCTAGTTCGGTAAACCCCTACTTTAATACTTTAAGGCTTCTTCTTGAGGATTTTCAGGAAGATACCACCCCGATTGTGTTCTTTGAAATTCAAACTTCTATCTAGACTTCTTGGATATTTTAGGAGAAATATTCCAAAAGATCATTTTTTGAGAATATACTTCCAAAGTTTGTAGTGGTATCTTCATGAACTTTGTACGGCTCGAGCCTTGATCTTTATATGGCCAAACAAAATCGGTCCCATGGCGCCAAATGATGGTGTTAATTGTTTCGAATGGTTTTATCATTTTTACTGTGTCAAAATGATAAACGAGCCTAACAATCACAAAAAATATGAATAAGCTATTTTTGACGTGGAAACCCAAATCGGGAGAAAACTACGAGCCTTTTCCGGTGTTACCATACCAAAGGGGAGATTTTATTAATATCGGAGGTAGCACATAGTACATAATCTTGACATTACAACCATTGATGGGGCGTTTTAGCTATATAAAGAATAAATAATACAAAGAATTTTTTCCAAGCAATGTGAGAGTGTATACTAGTTTTATGAGCTAGACCTCTCCTTACTAAAGGTGAATGGTTTCTTTTTATAGTGAGAGATGATGAAGTAGTTATGAAGATAAATATGGTAGGTGAGTGAATGATGAAAGTAATTATGGTAGGGAGTGATTGGTGGAAGTAGTTATGGTAATGAATGAATGATGAATGTAATTAAGAAAAATGAGTTGACTATAAGAATTATTATGGTAGGAGAAGTAATTTGTGGCTAGTGTTTGGTGATGATAGTTATGGTAATATTAATTGAAAAATTTGGAGCGAGATGTCCTGACCAAATAATATTTCCCATCATCTGCCATCTTCTAAAATCTTAGCCTTCAAAGTTTTACAGTTTTGCAAAATTGATTGTAATGTCCTTCATGTTGGGCTTTGTGGAGGCTTGTTTGTCGGCCCGGCCCAGTTGTGCGTAGCCCTAGCTTTTCTCTATATATAGAGAGCTGGTATTTTGTAATCTTTGGCACCACAAGTGAAATAAGAAAATACCACAAGTGAAATAAGAAAATCCTCCTGTTGCAGCCGTGGATTAGGGAAACCTAACCATGTTTCTCGCAGTTATTTGTGTGTGTTGTGTGTTTATGGTATCAGAGATAGGTTGTTCAACACAAGAACACGAATAGCGAGAAGCTGTCACCTAGGGTTTGCAGATCTTGGATTGTCCGTTTGAGAAAGAGAAGTGTGCGCCGCCGGTTACCAGAAGGGGAGATCTGCGCAGCTGTTCGCCATAGTCTGCGAGCCGCCGCTGCATCCCTTCGTAGCGCCGCCGTCGACCTCTTAGATCGCCGCCGTCCGCGTGCCGTCAACCGCACGCAGAGGAGCTGCCTGCCTGCCTCCGTTTCAGATCAAGAGCGCCGCCGACCCAGTGGCAGAGCCGTCTCCGTCCAGTGGGTCGCCATCGCCGTCCGAGCCGCCGCCGTTGGTCATGCGCAGAGGACCGTGGCGTTAGAATCGCGCAGCAGCGGGAGAGGAATTCGCCGCCTCGTCGTTCAGATCGCAGAAGAGGTACTGCCGCCCGCCGTCCAGCCGTCAACCGCCACCGCGAGCAGGTGTCGTCCGACCGCTCGCCGAGCCACCGCCGAAGTCCAGTGTTGGTTGCCGTCTGAATTGCACAGCCGCCAGAAAGAAAAAAGGGTTGCTAGCAAGTGAAAAAAAGGGTTTTCCTTGGCTGGACCGAAGAAAGAAAAAAAAAGGAAAAAGTGAGTGGGCCGGGCAGTGGGCCAAATTAAGTGTCATTTGGTCAGCCCCCATCCTTTTTTCCTTGTTTTTGGTTTGGTTGGGCTTTATTTGGAGAGATTTGGGCCTCTTTGATTTGGATTGGTGAGAAGTGTTCTTGTTCCTATTTTTCTGACAGAAAAAATACCAAGATCTAAAATTAGTTGTACTGGGTATCTCGTCTAGTCGTTTGAGATGGCAGAAGACGGGAAGTTTCGAATTGAGAAGTTCGATGGTACAGATTTCAGTTGGTGGAAGATGCAAATTGAAGATTTGCTGGTTCAGAAAGATTCGGACGTGGTATTGGGTGACAAGCCAGAAAAGATGTCGGATGCAGATTGGGCAAGTTTGGATCGGAAAGCTATGTCCGTGATCCGTCTCTTGTTGACCAAGAATGTTGCGTTCAACATTCTGAAGGAGAAGACAGCGAAAGGAATTATGGAAGCGTTGTCTAACATGTACGAGAAGCCATCTGCAGCGAATAAAGTTTTTCTGATTAGAGAGCTGGTGAACACAAGGATGAAAGAAGGCACTTCAGTTACCGAGCATATCAACAAGTTGAATTCGATCTTAGCCAGACTTTTGTCAGTGGGCATTAAGTTCGATGATGAAGTTCAAGCTTTACTACTGCTATCGTCTTTACCTGATAATTGGTCCGGAACGGTTACAGCGGTTACCGGTTCAGTGGGATCTGATGGATTCACCTTTGATCAGATTCGAGATCTCGTTCTTGGCGAGGATGTCAGAAGAAAGAGTTCAGGGGAGTCATCTGGTGAATTGCTTCATGTTGGTAGAGACAGAAGAAATAGCAGAGGTAGTGGGAGCAGGAACAGACAAAGGAGTCAGTCGAAGACTCGTGACAGCTCAGGTGTAACGTGCTGGAAATGCAAGGAGGTGGGGCATTTTAGGAATCAATGTCCGAATGATAAGAAAGTAAACATTGCTCAAGGCTCTGCGAGTGACGAGGAGGTTGCTCTGACTTGCTGTGAGGAAAGCAATGTGGATTCCTGGGTCATGGATTCTGGTGCTTCATTTCATGCCATCCACAGCGGTGAAGCATTGCAGAATCTGGTTATTGGAGACTTTGGAAAGGTACGACTAGCAGACGACAGAGCGCTTGAGGTGACGGGCATGGGTGACATGGTGTTGAAGACCTCAGTCGGTCTCTGGACTTTGAAGGATGTCAGAGTGGTTCCAGCTTTGAAGAAAAGTTTGATTTCTGTCAGGCAGCTGGACGAACAGGGACATGAGGTAAAGTTCAGAGATGGGCAGTGGAAGGTCGTGAAGGGAAATCTTGTCATGGCCCGTGGAAGGAAGAGTGGTTCGTTGTATATGGTCGAGTTACCATCTGAGGGAGTGACCGCCCCAGTTCAGAAGAGAAACAAAGTCCGGTTCACAGAGTCTCGTGGGCAGAATAAGGTTGTCTATGCAAGAGAGAAACCTAGAGCCACAGGTCAGACTCAGGATGAACGAGCGAGGAAAGGTTCAAGGAGGCAAGTCAGATGTATTTGTGGCAGTGGGAGCTCAAATAGCACTTCGGCCAAGTTGCCTAGAAGACAGTGGGTCAGAAGAACCAGTATTCCAGCTGTTGGAACATCTCCGGAAAATTTCTTGCTGAGTACGGAGATTGTTTGTTCTCAGGATGTTCCAGGATCCGGCAGTGTGCGTCTGCAGTGGGAGCCGGTAGGGACCGAGGATGAGTCAGGGGCAGATTTTGCCGTGACTGATGTGTTGGAGCTTGGGAGAGCTTCAACGGGCCTTTCAGTTGTCTGATGATAGGGCTGCTGCAACAGGAAAGCTGAGGAAGATTACTCGATGTATAGGCAATCGTGGTGAATGGCAGTTGATGACTATCAAGCCTCCAAGTGGGAGAATGTTGGGCTTTGTGGAGGCTTGTTTGTCGGCCCGGCCGAGTTGTGCGTAGCCCTAGCTTTTCCCTATATATAGAGGACTTGTATTTTGTAATCTTTGGCACCACAAGTGAAATAAGAAAATCCTCCTGTTGCAGCCGTGGATTAGGGAAACCGAACCACGTTAAATTCTTGTGTGTCGTTTGTGTTCCGTTTCTCTCGTTTCTCGCAGTTATTTGTGTGTGTTGTGTGTTTAATTCCCAACACTTCACTGATTCACTATTCATCATCTTCAATAGAAATTTGTTTCTGTTTTGTTATGTTTTTAGAATTAGCACTTGGATTCTCTAAAAGGCATGTAGTCACTTTGAGATTGAAACAATTCTGCGATTCATACAAATTTTCAATCAGATACAACTCAAAAAAAAAAGGACAAAGTATGAAATTTTATGTTATTTTACGAACCTATGTTTTTCAACCAATCCTGTGAAGTTATTATAGGGGCGGGGAAGAAGAGGAACTGTCGTATGTATCCATTTCTAAAATTTGCATCTATTCACACGAAAAGGAGAAGATGAGTTCCTTCAGATTTTATTATGTATCCAAATTCCAAAAAGTAAAAATTCAAGTATAATTTGCACTAAATAGGATTAAAACATAATGACTTTCTCAATGTAGGACTTAAACTTTTTTATTCCCTAAATAGGACTTAATAATGACCTAGTGGGAAGAATAATGTGCAGTAATGATGGACATTTACTTGAATAATGATTACTTGTTAATTACTTGTTAGGAAATAAAAACATATGGTCCTATATTGGAAAAGTTATTATGTTTTAGTCTTATTTAGGTAAATTTCTCAAAATTCAAATGATATTTTAACAAAAGACTTTGTCTAAAATTAAAAAAATTAAGATGGGACCCCACAGGGGCTGTCGCCCCTTGAACACAACTCTCGGGGGTGTTGGCCCCTTGGAACCCCTGCTAACATACTTAGGGAGAAAGTAGGACTTTTTTCATAATAAGTTGGAAAAATTGCCCAAAATAATCCCAACTTTACCCGGTCTTTCAAAAATAGTCCCACCTTTCACTGTGATGCATAATAATCCTAACTTTACTGAAATTTACCAGTTTTGGGTCATAGTTAAGTTTCTAACGGAGGGTTAACGGAAATGCCCGTTTTAGGCAACAAAATGAAAGTTGGGATAATTTTTGATGAATTTTCATTTTTTTTTATTTTTTTAAATTTTTCATTTAAATTTTTAAAATTACTTTCTACCTTCATCATCATTTCTTTTTCCTTTTTTTAAAGATTAGTCTTAGTTTAAAAAATAAAAATAATAGATATAAAAAATGAGAAATGTAACTAAAATGATATAAAAATAATAAAATAAATAAGGTAATCAATGGAAACTAACTTGAAGTTGGTAAAAGTAAAATAAAAATATACGGGTGGGTTTTAATATTTTACGCATTATACAAAGTATTAACATATCACATCTTATTTTTTAGAAAAAATTATTTACAATAATTCCAACTTTACCGGACGGCTTGTTCTTTTAAAAAATAAGTAGTACATTAAGACTCCATATAGTGTGTAAAATGTTAAAACCACAACTCCGTATATATTTATTTTATTTCTTACCAGTTTCTGTTTAATTTTTATTAATTACATTATTTATTTGATTAATTTTGTATGGTTTTAGTTATTTTTCTCATTTTCATTATTTTTTATATCTATTTTTTTCTAAGGTAAGAATAATCTTTAAAAAAGAAAAAGAAATGGAGGTTGAAAGTAATTCAAAAAATTTAAATAAAATTTCAAAAAAATTAAAAAACAAAAATTCATAAAAAATAATCCCTCATTTTGTTGTCTAAAACAGGCATTTCTATTAACCCTCCGTTAAAAACTTAACGATGACCCAAAATTGGCAAATTTCAATAAAGTTGGGATTATTATGCATCACAGCGAAAGGTGTGATTATTTTTGAAAGACCGGGTAAAGTTGAGATTATTTTGGATAATTTTTCCTAATAAGTTTAACGAAACGTCCATTTCGCACTAACAAAACTTCTTTGATGATTGTTATAATAACACTGGTCAAATAGTCATTTAATTACACTAAAAAAAACTTACTCTAGCCTAATAATGACTTCTTATTTTTTGTTGGGGCGTTCCAAAAAAAGTCTTTTCTTTTCTTATATGGGAAGCTTTGAATAGTTCAGAATCTTTTTGGGTCATCTACATGACTTTCAATCACAAATTTTCACTTTTCTAAAAATTTGTACAAAGTCAAACTGGGAGCGTTATTTTGGGACAGAGATAGTACCATAGTTAGACCATGTTTTTTGGATTGGAAAAATTTATTTTCAGCTTTTTCCAATTTCTTTCAGTTTCTTCTAGCTTTTTCCAATGTTATTCAATCAAGACTTAAAAAAAAGTACTCGATTTATATATGATGGATATACATTCTTATTATATATGCAAATTTATAACATACCACCTCAAAATTAGAAAATGAAAAATTCTTTTTTATCTAAAATTAAAGTTTTCATATACTCCCTCCGTCTCAAAAAGAATGGGATGGTTTGACTTTTTGGAAAATTAAGGGAGAGATATTTTGGTATTAACTTTTCAAAAATACCCTTGATGTGATGGATAAAAGTAGGATGTGATGGGTAGATTATTAGGAAAAAGGTATGATGTGATAGATAGAGTATGAAAAAATAAGGGATAAAAGTGGTTTTTTAATAGAAATGTAACGAACTTTACGGGACACAGTTTTTTCTAAACATAACAAACTTTTTGGGACGGAGGGAGTATATTACTCCGTAACTTGGATGATAATTTAATTAAATAACTTTTTAACTTTTAATTATGTAACTTTTTACATATTTACTTGGGGACCTATAACCTATGCTTACTTTTCTCTACATTTTTTTCTCTTAAGGAAGAATTGTAAATGCCTTTTCGCATCATGTAAATCCTGCAGAACTTTGGCATCGACTGGATGATTTGGGCAAGTCGCCTAAGTTCTACTCCTTACTATTAACAATATGAAGAGAGTGAGAGAGATCAAGGGGGAAGAAGGTAAGAAAAGAGTAGCAAACGAAGTTAAAGTTCTATTCAAATTCAAATCAGTTGAAGGGTCAGAAATTAGGGTTTACATGCACGAGGTCTAGGCGTCTAGCCTTGTCCGTTAAAGGTAAGACACTCCATTCCCCACTGAAATTTTTGCTCAAACTGTAGCTTCATTCAATACTCTGTTCCAATTGAGCTGCCATTGTTGAAGCTCTTCAGCACCTACTGGGTGATTATACAATGTTGAAACTCAGGAGCTATTGCTGTTACTTAGTTCATGAATCGCAAATGTATTCTTTTTCTATTTTTCTTTTTTTAAAAAATGGTTTTGAATTTCTGATACGGAGTATTATTTAAACATTAACGTTGTTCTTTGATTGTTTATTGATATGACACTGAAAATTGGACTTATATTTGCATAATTCTGCGAAAGACTTAACCTTTTGCTTCAATTGCTGAATAATTTGTGTTTGTAAGGAGTTATTGAAAGCTCGAAACTTGATTGTGGCATTCGCTTTGGCATGCATTGTAATTTTGTTGTGTTTAAGTTCACTAAGATGTTAAGGCACCATTTTATTGCTAAACATCTTTTTTGTTAATTTAAAGCAACGGATTTTAAAAATTTACTCCTAGGTCCTAACCGTACTTAGGCTTTGTTCTTTTCGGTTGGAAAAATTAACTTCCAACGTTTCCCAACTCCCTCCAGTTTTTTCTAACTCATTCCAATTTCTTCCAACAATGACTTGAAAAATGTATTTACATATGATGACTAAACAATAACATTATATATCCAAATTTATAACATAACACTTCAAACACGAACAAAGATGAATTCTTTTTTATATCCAAAATTAGTTTTCTTACATATTTATTTGGGTGATCATTTAATTAAGTGATTTTTTAACACTTTATTTTTTCTAGCCTTTTCCAACTCCTTCCATTTTCTTCCAACATCCAACTTTAGAATTCTAATTGAAAAGAAGCACATTGATGTAAATTTATTAGCACACTGTTAATGTTACTATTTCTATGGTATTCATGGGAATGGAAAGACTTAGGATTTTGAAGGATGTAAAATTTGTAAGCGTACTACTTCTATTACTATTTCATTGTTTTTGCTTGTCATGCGGAAGCTTTATATGGGAAGATTTGGTACCTTAACATTTTATTTACTTTCAGAAACATGGTTCATGAGACTCGATCAAGGAGTAAAATGGGAGCCGATGATGTTAGTTCAAAGAATCAAGTGGCTGATAGAGAAGAAACATCCCCATGTTCTAGAAAGGCAGATTGCTTAAGTTTAAGAAGTCTAGCTCGGGAAACCTCCTCAAAAGATACTAGGACAAGCCCATCACCTACACGGAAGTCTGAGCGCATTCAGAAGAAGAGTTCACCTGTGACTCCTGTTGTGTGCAATAAACTTGATAAATTGGACACTCCTAGTCCTTTAAGGAGGTCAGTAAGAGGCAAAAGAAACGTTCCTTCATCACCAAAGATCCCGGAGGATGAATCTGTTTCATCTGGTATGGAGTCACATGGCAAGAAAAAGGAGACGATGAAGCAACCGATGATGGAATCTGAAAAAGTTAGCACCAGCCGCAAGGTCCATTACAAGAGCTTGTCTTCTATTGGAAAGAAAAGGAAGAGAATAAATGGACACAGTTATGCACTTTTGCTCAAGAGGCGACATAGAAGGGGTACACTATCAGGTGGACAAAATATTATATATGCTCTTTCATACACTCCCCCAGGACCCATGAATGTCATATTTTTTGGATTTTTTGAGGCGTTCTTTTGCTAGTGGGGATGTAGTCCTATCTCCTTTTGATTTCTTTGAAAGCTGAAATCAGCCAGCTATTAAATTAAGTGCAGATCTAGTGATATCAGAAAGTGGATCCATTTAATATTGCCATCTTTTTAAAATAAATATCTTAAATATTGCACTGGTGGTTTGTTGTACCTTTTGTTTGCTGTTTTAGGGAACACTGATGAGAATGTAACTTTTATCCATGCAGGCATTACTAAGTCAAAAAGAATCCTTCAGCTTCCTGAAGTTGATAGTAGCGACTCCAGAAACGAGGAGTCCAAGCTTGCTGAGGATGAAGAAAATGGGGACAATGAGTGCCATACAAAGATTACAAATGAATTAACCAATCACCTTGCTCCACATTTTGACGATGGTGCCTCCAAAGATGAGCTAGAGGCTTGTCCTGGCATTGTAACTTTGAAGATCCCAAATTTGATATGTTCTGGTTTAGCAAGTGGTGAGCATGAAATAATAAGATCATCAAAGACACATATGGTAAACACAGATCTTGAAGTCACAGTGGCAGATGCAAACATGCATACATGCACTTCTGCGCCTGCTTCGGAACCATTATCTGGAGATGAAAAGCATTTCTTTGCTGGGTTTTGTGTTTCATGTTCAAAACAGCGAAGGTACTTCTCTTAATTTTGTTTGCACAATATGACACGGAGTATTTTATATTTTAGTCTTTTAGCTATATGCTGGATCTTGTGCCATCAGTTACAATGCTGATCAGTTATATCTTATGTTTTGCACTTTCACTCCATAACTGTACACTATCAGATTTGCACAGTGTTTTATGCTAAGATTTATTTACTATTTACAAGATATGTTATTATGTTTGCTCTCTGCACTGCACATTTTGAAGGGGAGGAATGGAAAATTGTTTTCTCGGCCTTTATTGTGTTTGGAGTCATTCTGTTATTGCAGTTTTATGTGCTTCCCCAGTTCTGCTCCTCTTCTCAATATATAGATATGCTCATGCATTTGATTTGTTTGCAGAGTGGGCCATGATTCACCAAAAGTAGAGCTCTGCTCATGTGTTACAATGCACAATAAAGACAACAATTACATATCTAGTCCTGAGGTTGGTTTATGATGCCATTTGATATTTGCACTAAGAGATAGAAAAATGTTGCACAAGGAATATCCTTAAGGCCTGCAAGTTGATTTAGGGAATGTTTGGTTGGAGGAGAGTGGAGCTCCCATTTGGTTCAACACTTTTGAAGGGGAGGGGCTCCCCATGTTTGGTTCAACCCGATTTATTAGGACAGGAGTACATTTTTAGATTTTATAGGACGGGGGGAGTATATTTTTGGCTTTATTTTTCAATCATGGAGTACTAAACAACCTAAAACAAAATATAATTTCATTATTAATTAATCCATACTCTCTCCCTCTTTTCACCCTGAACCAAACATGGTTCATTAAACACGTTTCTATCCCTTCCCTTACTTTCACTCTCCTCCCTTACCTTTGAACCGATCATACCCTTAGTCCAGTGAAACAAACATTAAACTAGTCTCAGTGGCACAAATACTTTCGAACTGAAAGCATGAGTAATATGTAGCATATCCAGATCATGAAACTTTTTTATGTCACACATTCACAGTTGGTGTATTTTTTGCGTTTATGTGTTGGAGTATCTTGAACTTTATCTTCATTGAAGAATGAAGTACTATGTCAATTTTTTTCTTTTCAGCGGAATGTACATTTTGTTGCATAAACACTAGAACCTTCCACCCTGTACTTGTAAGTGGGGATCACTTTATAGTGCAGTTTTGACCACCATATCTTCTTACCCATACTCGACATTGTTGATTGAAATCAACATTTGAGTCTCAAGAAGATTTTTGTTTCTGTAAATGATATAGGCTGCCTCTACAAAAACACAACTGAAACAATTTAGAGCATATTTTTTCTTTACTTTGTCTACGTTTGATATTTAAAATTTATGTCATTACACTGTTCTTATTAGGTTGGAGTTGGTGTGAAAGATATTCTTTTCTCAGGGTATGCTGAAAAATGCCACAGCAGAAAATCTGAAGGGGATATTTCAGATCCTTATGTGGATAAGAATGAAAATGTGTGCATTGTGTGCAAAGAAAGTGGAAAGAGCATGTGAGTGAACTTTATGTTTATGCATTAATATATGGTATTATTTCAAAAATAAAAAAATAATGAAATAAAACTTTTATGTTTGTGGACTGAAACTACTTGTTCACACGAGAAACTTATTGTGTTTACAACATGATAGAAACTCAAAGTTCATGGTCTTGTCTGAAGTGTCATAGTTTAATAATTAAGCCTATTAATATATGGGCAATAGTAATATTGATATTAAGATTTTAATTTAGTGAGGAAGTGACTTCCTATCATTTGCTGATGAACACATCAAGCTTCTGCTTTACTACTGAGCATTTGCTCTTCGGTACCTCGGGCATGCAAAATCTTTATTTGTTAGTAGTTTGCTTGGAAAGTTCATGGTCTTTAATCCAGTTAAGCATTACAAACACAAAGCATTTGGGATTCATGCCTTTTCCCCCAATGTTTCCAACATTTTGCGTACATACTTTTACTTGTCTTTTTCTTTTACTGTAGTATTCTTAACTACTTTTCAGACTTTGCAATGGAAATGGTTGCAAGAGATGCTACCATCTCCCTTCTTCAGGTCCTAGTATAAATGATGTTCTACTTGGAATCTGGCATTGTCTCTGGTGTCAGATGAAAAAGATTGCATTTGGTGTCCACTCGGTGACAAAAGGAGTTGATTCAATCTGTGATGCTAGAGAAGTGGATGTATCAGGTTTGATACAGCTGATTGACCAGCATTCTTTATTTACATATTGAAGCCAGAATTTTTTACCAACTAATAAAACTTTCAACTGTTCTTTTGTTTCATTTTAGTCTATGATTGTTTCTGATTCTTGTTGATTCTGCCTTCTTGTCAGGAACACATATGCAGAAGCAGTATCTCGTGAAGTACATAGATCTTGCTCATGTTCACAACCATTGGGTTTCAGAGGCACAGTTACTTCTTGAAGCACCATTCCTTGTTGCAAACTTTAGTGACAATAATCAGGTCAAGTTATGGTTTGGACGATTGCCATCTGTTCTTTAATTTGATTTGATAACCTGCTTTCTGAATTTCAAAATGATCGGACATGCATGGATCTATTTATTTTTGTGCATGATTTGAAATCCTTTCAAACACTAAATTCGTTTCATAATTCAGGTTATTGGATGGAACTCTGAGTGGACATTGCCACATCGTTTGTTGAAGAAAAGGTCATTATCTTTCTCTGAATTGCTAGGTGACGGTCAAAATTTTGATGCTGGTCACAATACCGAATGTCAATTTGAATGGTTTGTAAAGTGGCGGGGTCTTGATTATGAGAATGCAACATGGGAATTGGAGATTGCTGATTGTCTACGTTCACCTCATGGGCAAACACTCGTTAGGGAGTATGAGTTACGCTTGGAAAAAGCAAAACAGCTAACCGGCAAGGTTCCAGTGTATTGACTAATATTTAAGTCTTGCCTTTTTATCTTCACTACTTAAACCTGCATGCCGATTAGTAATCAATTTTAACACTTTAGGTAAAGTCTCATCTACGTTCAAAAGCTAAATCGTGCATATTCTCACTCTGCCAATCTTTTAGACAAAAATACTGTTCTATTAAGTTGAATCCTGAATTAATGAAGTGACTTTGATAATTTTATTGTCAACTACTCCTTTGTATGTGATCATACCCTGCTTATCTTGATTTGTAGTTTCACAAATTTTGTTTTTATGAGTCCCTGAGCTTAAACTTATGCACTAGGATAGGGGGAAGATTTTTTCTGTATTCTGGAAAATATTCTTTATTTATTTGCTGTAAATGAGTAGAGCAAACAGAGACATGATTTGATATTGGAATAGATCAAACTGACAGGCCCTTTTCGTATTTTGTTGCTTTTGATATCTCTGTGTTGCCTATAATTTTTCTTTTTTTTTGATTTTTTGTCACACTTGCAGAATAATAAGCAATCACTCGTTGGACTTCCAAAGATTTGGGATGGAAGTTCTCTAATAAGTGATATGGATATGCTTAATTCTATGAACAAACTACATGATCATTGGTCTAGATCAGAGAATGTTGCTTTATACGAAGATCAGGTTGGTTGAATACTAATTATTTCTATTTGGTAAGCAATTCTATATGGGAATCTAGGACTTGAAAACTTTCTATACAATATTATGGAGATGGGCTATATGGGGATGTGATTATGTAATTTCAATAGTTGGCTTCACAGTTGAGTTGTCATGTACTCTTGTATTTACATGAGTTCTTAATGGTTGATCAACCGAAGCTAATCTGTATAGTATAGTTGGAACCCTAACGTAAATAATAGCATAAGTCTCTCCATTCCAAATTGTTAGCTTCACAGTTGAGTTGTCATGTACTCATGTTTAATTTAGTCCGATATTTAACTGAAGCTAAAACATTGTCAAAAACTACTCTTATAGCATCATTGAAAATGGGCACTATGGAATAATGATAGCCAAAGTAAATTATATTTTTTGGTAATTAGCACAATGGATATTTTCAGCTACTTGACTGTTTAGTTTGCATTATTTTCTTGACTAAGTTTTCTCAGCATTCTGGCCATAATGTACCTGGTAATTAGAATAATTTATTGGAATATTTTATTACAAAACCTAAGTTCTTCTCAAACAATTGAATATCAAATGCATTATCAATAGAAATTGATGCGATTTTGGCTCAAGTAATTAAGAGTTTAACACAATGGTGGAAACCAAACCAGCAAATTTTTCCGATTCTCATTATGTTTTCATTTTAACAAGATTTCATTGACATGAAATCACTCACAAAGCTTATGCAATTGCAGGTTTGGTGTAATGATATACTAGTAATATGGCATTTCAATATTTTTTGATAGTTCCATCATACCCATGTTGATTAACAAAAGCAGTCTTATCGAAGTATGTGACATGGCTATAACAACTTTCTTAACTCATAATTTTTCACATGATATTTTTATGCAAATGGTAAATTCCTGTGATGACAGTTTTTGGAATATCATCTCAGAATTCCTATCAAGAACATTGTGTCCGTAATGGCATTCCATGTAAAGCCTTGCTACTATACTCTTATTACATGGGTTTATAATGTTAAGTGATTATAAAAATAAATTGACACTAGATTTCATGTCACCGACCCCAATGTAGTTGAGATTGAGGGGACGCTGATCCTTGTCAAAGCAAATTCTTCATGCATCTTCTTCTTCTGATACTTATTCATTAAGACTTATGGCCCTACTTTTTTATGCTATCCGGGCCAATGTACAACCACATCCTATTTCTTTTTCCATCACAAGTCACAACCTTTAATTGCTCTAGCTCTATCTGAGAACCTTTTGAGCACACGTCAACATTGTCCTGAACTGCAACATCCATGCTGGTGCATTCCACGTGTTATAGTATATTAGTAACCTCATGAAGTCTTGTGATTTAGTGAATTTCGCTGTCACAGTTGATATGTCTCACAATTCTATCTTAATTAAGGTATGTTTTTAAGTGTCAACACATTACTGTTAGCTGCAGTATGGCACTATTTTTTGGTAAAAGCTTCTTAAATAAAAATTTGTTGTTTTGTATTATATGCAGGAAAAAATGATGAAGATAGGTTTATTTATTTTATCTATGTCAAAGGTCTGCTGCTGGCCTGTTCTTATTGTCACTGCTTCCCATGCTATTTCTCATTGGGAAGCTGAACTCAAGAAATGGGCCCCAGCGGTAGATTGTGTAGCTTATCAAGGTAGCAGGGAAACCAGAAGGATTATTGAGATGTGTGAGTTTTATAGCCAAGGAGGAAGTATAATACTTCAAGTTCTTTTGACCTCTTTTGAAACTGCTCTTGAGGTACACCTTGATAGTTTGACATTTTGACCTTTGGCATTTTAACATTCTCTTCCAGACACCTCATGATTAACAAATATTTAGTAAGTGATGAGGACCTTTGTAATCAGGTTTAAATTGCTTCTTTAAATGCTAGGGTTGGTATCATGTGGTCAATTTCTTGACATACTTTTATACTGTATGTAGGATATACACACATTAAATAGATTGAACTGGGAGCTGGTTGTATTTGATCAGTGCCAACATTTAAATTTATCTCCCCATGTAGAGAAAGTTGAGACACTTGGTGGGCTAAAAGTGCTTCTTTTCAATGGTCCAGTAAAGGTATCGTTTTAATATTTTATATCCTCATTTTTTTCTAACGCTCTCTAGTTTTTACTCATTCTATATAATTTCACAGCATACTGCATCGGAGTCCTCGAACATACTGTCACTTGTTTATTCTGATGGTGATTTGGGAAAAGCTGATCTGTTGAAAACTTGCTCAAATAATACTCTTGGACAATGGAAAGAGAAGGCGGCATCTCAGGAGTTTTTTGAGTATTGGCTTCCCGTTCAACTTTCTGGATTACAGCTTGAACTTTACTGTGATACGTTACTCTCGAACATTGATGCCTTATGCTCTTACTCAAAAAGTGATCCAGTTGGAGCCCTTAATAATATGCTTCTTAATATTCGAAAGGTTGGATCTGACTCTGTATGTTCTCATAGTATTCATGCATCTCTAACATTATGCTATTGCATTCAGATTTTGTGTGTGAATGTTTAAAAATGCGTATGTTTCTTACTTTCTTTTCATAATACCAAATACCCACCATTCACGCACCTACTTTTCTTGGTATCACTAAATTAGTGTATTTTCCATTATTTGTTACATTTTTTTCCCATTATTTTAACAAGCACAAAACTTTGAACATACTCTATTATTTTCACAAATGAAACAATGGAATAGTTTTGCTTTGTATTGGTAACACAACTGGATAAAAAAATAGGACGCCCTATATGTATAGGCACCTGTTTGGAGACAAGGCAAACAGGTATACTATAGGCTGCAATTGAGTTGGTAAAGGACTCCTTTGACAATAATATGAATCATATGATTGATCTAGGTTTGTGCTGCAGTGGATTTACTGTTCCTTGTAGTACAATATAGCAATACACATAATACACTTCAACTGTAGGCCAAAGAAGCAGTGAGTTTCATTTATGCATGACAGTGAGCAAACTGAGCATTTCGAAAGATAGCAGATTTTCTTGACTAATTAATTTTAGTTATTATGGAGTAAGTTGGAGATGCACCACTTCTCATCGAGCTGTTATAAATCAAAAGAACTGTTAAAATTTTATTCTATCTAATGCTTGTAAGTAAGCTCCCATCCCCACACTCGACCATGCCCCTCTGGCACAGGGGCCACATTAAATGTATCAGTCATAAAGCGTGACACTGGCACATCAATTTGGAAATGACATTATCTTGAGTTTTATGCATCTGTTGGTGGTGGTTTGACATTTGATGCTATTGATGATACTGCCTTTCTTTGTTCATTATCAGTGTCATGGCATTTGATGCTTTTGTTGTTGGTACAACTAATCTCATAAGAATTATCTTTTTCAGTGCTGTGATCATCCTTACATCATTTGTGACCCATCCACAAATTTGCTCAACAAGGAGCTTTCTCAGGCTAATATCTTGGATATTGGCATACAAGCAAGTGGAAAATTGCAACTTCTTGACAAAATGCTATCTGAGATGAAATGCCGACAATTAAGAACAATTATCCTTTTTCAGGTATACGTTGACTATTTTTTTCCTCTATATGAATTTATTGATCTGAAGTATTTCGTTAGTTTTTCATACTAGATCCTTGTATGCACCCAAACAAGCTAGGCTGCCCTTTTTTTTGGCCACACTTTTCTTGCTTGAATCAACAACACCCTTTAGTTGTGTTTTAAGTTCAAACCAAGTAGAGTGTAGTATCCCACTCCATCTATCCTAATATGTTGTGCCCAAATTGACTAGGGAATTGGATTAAATTAGTGAAGACTGTATTTGATTTTGATATTTATGCAGAGGGGAGAGAAACATCATGAAATGTAAACCTGCATAATAAATTGGGACAAGCCAAAATGTAAAAGTGTAAAACATGCAGGACATGTTGGGATGGATGGAGTAATTTTTAAATTCAGAAATGGTCGGAAAAGGAAAGTTGCAAAGGTGGCCTGTGAGGCTAGAAAGAGTTCAGGTAGTTAATGATGTTCAAGTTTCACATTCAGTATTTTTTTGCAAAAACATTTTAAAACATAACAAAAAGGTCTAGATTTTTATCCTGTATAACAAAAAGTAGTAAGCAAATTTTTAAGTAGAGCTGTGATCTTATAACTTTGTGGAGTTTCTTCTGTAGTTCCATAGGATCTGCATGTTATGGATCTAGGGTTTAATATTTAATTAGTTATTATAAGTACCAGTAGCAGTAGTATTAGTTTCCTATTACTATTATTATTAGGATTATTAACAGTTTTTTATTAGTAGCCTTGTTCTATATTAGTTCATATTTCTAAATAAGAAATATGCTTCTTAGTACTATTATGGTACATCTCTGTAAGGCTTTGCCTATTTATGCTCACACAATTATTAATACATTTGTTAATGCCTTTGGATGGAATTGTGGACGGAATGTCCCCTCCCTGTAATTATTACAAAATTTAAGGGCTCCTGATGTCTTTTTGAAAATAGAGGGTCATCGGAGTTATTTCAACAAAACCTATGTCACCTGAGAGTAATTTTCTGTTTCTTTTGCATATGGCATGTCATCCTGAATCAAATATAAAAAAAATTCCAGTGACAACTCATCATTTTATGAAATAGTGTACCTACACTTCACAGCCTGAGAGGTAGGTACATGAAACAGTGTAGACATGTTCAACACAGTGCATTCATCTTGTCTATGATTGTAAAAAGACAATGTTTCCAAACTAAAAGTGACTGCGTCTCCTTTTTAGTTAAAGAAATATTGAAGTCATATTTTATTGAGTAAAAAAAAGAAGTGGTTAAAAGTTTTAAATGAAAAGAAGCATAAAAGTTTTTATTGCGTGACACTAAAGACTTAATTCTTAGACAGCTAGTGGGGATTAGTATATAACTATGTCTGAAAGATAAAAAATATATAAAATGGAATAAGAAAGAAGTGGGGATTGCTGTAGAGAAAAAGCGTTGCAAACAAGGTCGATCAATCTATGTGTTGGTTGTCCTAGGTCAGAGGACATTTCCGACCATCTCAAGAGTCGTTTAAAAAAATGAGCAGTCATCTGCGAGAATGGCGTGATAAGTGCATTTCCATCTTCAGCTTACCTCTATTCCACTTAACTGAATCTAAGTTTTGCAAGTGTGGTAACCCCTGCTTAAGGTACTCTTGCATGTGGAAGGGAGGGTGAAGGTAAATGGAAATCATATCATCACTTTGGCGGGTGTAATTACGAGGGATTGCACATTGAACCCATAGTTACTAGCTATCACGACACCAAGGTGAGATAAGGTGCCTGAGGACCGGATGCTTAGTTGACTAGGCGTCTGCCTATATGACAAGTCATAAAAGTCTAGACATAGTACATGACATTAATATAAGAGTTATATGCATATATAGTCCCTGTGGTGTTTCATAAGTGGGTAAATAGTGTTCAAACTTTTAAATGTTGTCAAATAGTCCCTGTGGTCAAACAATCATAGCATAATTAGTCCCTATAATAGAAAATTCATAAATTGACACAACACATGCGTATTATGCAAAGACATCAATCATGTAACAGTAAAAACGCTAATCTGGAATTTCAATTGTGATGTGTAACTTTGAACCATAGTATAATATCTTCCATCCTTTAGTTTAACTCTTACAACGAATTCTCCGTTCTCTTCTATAGTAATATTCTTGAATTGTAGCACAGTCTCTGTTTTATCCGGGCCTGGCCCTATCATACCCTCCCCCATGTCCTACACCCTCGCAAAAACCAGAGGACTTACGTTCAAACATTATGATCCGTTTTAGTGAGAATTCTGAGTCCTTCAACCCAAGAGGCCAGAATAACTTTGGACCCAAGGGTTCCACATGCCGACTCCCACTCCGTCCAACCCAACCCAAAATATCCAAAACTCCTTGCCATTAATTTCATTTCAAAATAAAGTTTTTATTACTCTTATTATAGCCCCTGGCCGAAAATAAGAGTGTGCAAACCAAAACTGTTTGTTGTTATTTTCCTTCTTTTAAGCCTTTTATTAAACAAATAAAACCCTCCCTTTATTTCATTCATCCCCTGGCCAAAATACACTTCACAATCCCAACATAAACACCCACAAAGAGCCAAAACCTTGACCCACCACTAGCCACTCATTCCTGCCCATGACCCTCACAAATAACCCAAACCCATATGTCCAAAACCACCCCTAATATTACCCAGCCCTGTCCCCTTTTATTAGC